GATTTGGTGATGGGAAACCCGCGGGGATTACAATCGAGATGGGAAAAAAAATGTGCAAAATGATGTAAAAATAAACTTTTTAATAATAAAAAAAAAAGATTAGTACATAGAGTCAATGGTGAAAGAAACCTTCATCTTAAGTTGAAGAAATCATGACTGTCAGAAGATATCACTCTAAAGACCTGTCAGTAATTGAATAAAAGTCTCAGAAGAAGTGGGAATAGCTGAATTTCCAAAATGATCCACTGATCTCAGAAGCAAAAGTATGCAAAACGTTTTTCCCCCAAGAAAAAGATAGAAATAAAGAAAGAAGGAGACCAAAGAGGACGCTGCAATTCACTCTAAATAAATACATCCTTAGCAAAACAGCTGCAACACACTACTAACTCACCTTCCAGAACTCCCAGTCAAAACTCAATAGTTCCTAAAATCTTGAAATGATTAACATTGAGTTTGCCTATCATATGATTAAGGTCTAATGTAAAGTGCTTCTTAAGAACACTTAATGTCTTTGAGTAACTAGTATTTGGAAAACATCCTAGCTCCCTAAAGTCATATATTACCAGTTTGCTGTAATGTGTCATAAATTCTTTAGCTTTGTTACCCTTTTAAATGGAATTATAGCATAGACATAAAAAACAAAATTCAAAGTTCTTTATAATATGTTGCTAAATTACAACATATTTAAGGTAAATTTACTTTTCTAATTAATTCTATTCATCAAATATATAAATTGTTAAAATCTTTACTTCACCTAAGAGAGTAGCCAGTATTTACAGATTCCTGAGTTATCTAATAAGCTAAAGAGGCTTAGAGACATGTGAGGTGCTTGCCTTTGCTACCCCCAATATTTATATACAAATTCATCAGTTTTGATGCAGGTAAACATGGATTCAAATTCCAGCTCTACTATGCAGCCTTTATCAAATTACTAAATTTGATCACTTATCCTCTGTAAAATGACACAATGACAGAGTTCATAAAGATCATAAAGAAAATGAGTATGTAAAGAGATTGGCCCTTTGACTGCATCCACCCTTCTTTCCAGTTTTTCTCCTCTTCATTTTTTACCCATTAACTAAGACCAACTCCACAGTTACATTTATTAACAAATGGTTTCTCTTTGAGGTGCAGTAAAATAGAATATGATAAATGGAAAGAGAAGTTCTTCAACTCTCACAGCAAAGGCAGAGTCTCTAACTCCTCCCTAGAGCAAAGAAATTCAATAAAAGCTAGGCCTCTCTGACAACTTCTTGTCACTTGAAATATTAGTAATTTAATAAAATAATAATTTATTTTTGCTAAAAATTAAAACTTCAGTTTTCCACTCAACATGAACACCAGTTTTAATTTTTAGCAAAAAATAAAAACATTATTTTATTTAATATCCCAAAACTATCTCCCCCACTGTGAAATAAGAAGTGTTAGTGATAAAAAATTACCTTTGCACTAATATAATTAGTAACAAATACTTATGTGTTTTAAATGTAACCAGTTTGCAAAAGAACATAAAAAAAAAATTTGTCTTCCACAGGTGTCCTTGTTTATACAAATACTGGCTAGAGTTTACTCTTAAAATTCAATCTCTCTAGTATAATGGTTTTCAGTAATTTTTATAAGAGAACATATGCTAATTATATACAAAAGAAAGGGGGAAAAGTATACATATTAGGTACAGTTCCTTTCAGTCTGTTTTGATCCTATGGGTAGCTTTCAAATGCAATTACATTATTAATAATACATTAAAAGCAATTCTGCTGCCATTATAATGTAACTTTATAAACTCATTTTTTTTCAAAGATTTATTTATTTATTCATAGAACTGGGGTACAGGCCAGAGATGCGGAGGGTGAGAGGCTTCACCAGAGACAGAGTGGGGAGCAGAACAGGCAGATCGAGGAAGTACACTGCTGAGGGGAGCAGCGGGCGGGTCAGGAGAGGTCTGCCACACCATGTGGTCACCTCCGGGGCAGGCGGGGATCGAACTCATGCGGAAGTAGCTTTTGATTCTTAGTACAGTGCTTTAACCCACTGCGCCACCAGGGAGGGCCCCATTTGTTTATTTTTAACTGAGGTCATATTGGTGTACCCCCATCGGGTATTACCACCATAGTGCACCTACAAACACCCATATTATACCAACACAGACCATTGTGCTTCCTTCTCTCTTTGTTCTGTCCCTTCCCTGAAACCCTTCCTCCACTTGGTTCTTCACTTCTGAAGTCAACTATGAAAGATTAGTATTCAGCTTGTCTTTACCTGACTATTAAATTAGTTACTTTATATTCCACATATTAGTGACACCACCTGGTATTTATCTTTCTCCTTCTGACATATTTCACTTAACGTTATCCTTTCAACCTCCATCCATGTTGCCGCAAGTGGCATGAATTCATCATTTGTGATCACTAAGTAATCCATTGTGTAAATGTATATATCACATCTTCTTTCTCCACTCATCTGTTCTCAGGCACATAAGGTGTATAAACTCATTTTTTAATGAAATCATGAGTTTATTAAGTAAGCTATTTTTGTTAACTTTATTTTTTTGATATTTTACTTGTTTTCAAAGTTTCAGAAATACACACACACACAAACATATATATATATCATACTGACATGAACTTTTATTCATAAAGTTCATTCAATGTTGAATTAATTTGTTTCAACCTACTATTAGATATTTAAATTATTTTCAGAGTTTTGGGATTGTAAATATTTGACACATGTTTTTATCCATAAATCTTATTCCATACATAAGATTATTTCATTAGGCTATGATAGTGAAAATATTGGGTGAAAAACTATAAACGTTTTTGAGGTGCTTGATATATATTTTCTGTTCTAGTGTCCAAAAGGCTATACCAGCCTGTACAATCAATAGTAATATATGAGCATATTGATTTCAATGTACTTGTTTCAGCATTGAGTACAATCACTTCATTTTATTTTTGCTAATTTCAGATGGAAAATCATGTCCCACTTTGTCACATTTATTTTTTTACTTTTTTAAAGATTTATTTACTTGTGCATACACAACTGGGGTACAGGCCAAAGGTACAGAGGTGGTGAAAGGATGCATTGGACACAGAGTGGGGAGCAGAACAGGCTGACTGGCAAAGCACATTGCTGAGGGGAGCAGCGGGCGGGTCAGGAGAAGTCTGCTGTGCCATGTTGATCACCTCTGGGGCAGGAATGGAACTCATGCTGAAGTAGCTTTAGCTTCTTAGTGCTGTGTGTTAACCTGCTGTGCCACCAGGGAGGGTCCTGTCACATTTATTTTTAATGTACTTTTCCAATGTGGATTAACTAGCTTCGTTACTCCTTTTTCATCCTTTTATTCAGCTTCTCCCCCCCACCCAAAGACTCATTACTTTGTTAAAAGGGGAAACTGAAAACTGAGCTGAAGCATCGAAGAATCATCATCATCATCATCATCAAATTTATCACTTTGTCTTAAAAAAAAAAACATTAAATAGTAACAGTAAAACATCCCCCTATCACCAACCTACCCTCTCAACTCCAATGTCAATCCCAGCATTCCTGATTCCACACAAATTTATCAATTCCATAGTAATCTAGACACTTGCTATTTTTCAGTCTTTGATAGCAGCTGCTGCTCTTTTACTCTATTACTACTCCTAGGTTTAGACAATGATGGAAAATATTTCTGAATTGACTTGCTCCTATCGGCTCATCACCTCTAAATTCAGCTGGGTACTCAGTGTTCTCACATTGGAAATCCTGAGCCTATTTTCAAGTGAATCCTTTCAATTCTCCTCTAAGTTCTTGTGTCCCCAATTTCCCATCACTCCTAGCTAATGACTTTTTCCTACCTCACACTCAATGTAAAAATAGCTTCAAAGGTAGAACTTCCCCACATGTTAAAAGTTCTATTTTGTGCTTATCTTCTTATCTCCAGACTCAAAAAAAAAAAAAAACACATTTTCTCTCATTTCAAGACTAACTTCCCTCCTGGAACACTCACTTTGGTATTGCTTCCATGACTTTTGCTTAATTTTTCAATCATACACATAGCATGCATGTATCTATCTTCTCGATCAGTGATTAGCTACATGAAGATCAAGGACATTTCATTTAGTTATGTTCCTCATCCTCTGGTTTAACATGCATATTTAATAAAGGTGTAAATTTTACAGATTAAAAACATTCCAGGCCCTCCCTGGTGGCGCAGCGGGTTAAAGCACAGCACTGAGAATCTAAAGCTGCTTCCGCATGAGTTCGATCCCCGCCTGCTCCTGAGGTGACCACATGGCGTGGCAGACCTCTCCTGACCCGCCCGCTGCTCCCCTCAGCAGTGTACTTCATCCATCTGCCTGTTCTGCTCCCCACTCTGTCCCTGGTGAATCCTCTCACCCTCCGCATCTCTGGCCTGTACCCTGGTTCTGTATAAATAAATAAATTAAAAAAAAAAAAACATTCCAGTAATAAAACTGCTATAAAACAGAAGTAAAAAGAAATCATACCTTCGAACCAGGTGGTGCTGCCAAGCCTAAGAAGGCATACACGGCATTATTTTCTCTGGCTTCAAAGAAAGCATCATAGTCCTTGGCGAAAAAAAGGCAAGAAGAATTATATACACAACTAACAAATGCAAAAAAGGACAAATTTATTGTGAATTATCTGACTGGTCAATGTTTTAGGGCAAACAGGCTAACGAAATTCCATAATCTTCAAATTTTGTAAAGAGTATTGAAGAGGCAAAGTTAATTGCATCTCATTTAATGTGGATTAAATGCTTTTTATGGGACAAAAACCATAAAATGGTTTATTTCATATTACATAGAATTGAAATCTGCCTCGGGGCAAGCAGCTCTCTCCATAGCCCAAAGTAGCCAACTATTTGCCAGTATGAATTTGCTTATTTCTGGTAAGAGAATATCAATTGGTCTAGCTCATTTTTTTACTTTTATTCTTTATGTAGGCAGAAACATCCTCAGAACCAGAAATAGAAAAGATGTCAGCGATGTATGCCTAAGACCATAGGAATAATGAGTCTCTGCTGTGATTGGAGGAAAAGAAACAACTTTTATGGAATATGACCACAAGAGCATATAAAGAGGATTCAACCCTGTGATCAAAGGGAAGCCTTGCATGACTGAATTAGGTTGTTCATCCCAATGTCTTCTTCTAAGGCACCAAAAAATTATATAAATGTAAAAAAAGAGAATTAATTACCTAAATTTGACTATAACAAATAATCAATAGCAAACCCACCCAGAAACAATCATTGTCTAAAACTGCCCTCTCTTTAGTTGAGTTAGAACACATAAAAAAAAGAGGTCTTGTGACTCTCAGGTAAAATCCAGCAGCCCCTGCCCAGACTTATGAAACTCCAGACCCAACTGGAAAGACTCCAGAGCGGACAGAGACCTTGAAATGTTCCCTGAGAACCCCGCTTACCCCTACCGAGACTAGCAGAGGTCTTGTGACTTCTTCAAGACCTTACCCATGCCCACACAGACCAGTGAGGTTTCCACATGATTTGGGGAGGATGCCAGAGTAACCGTAGGTTTCTAGTGCCCCAACATTTGCCCAGACCCACAAAGGCCTTGTGACTTCAAACAAGGTCCTTAGCTGCACCTGTACAGATTAGTGAGACCACAGGCCCATATCAAGGAGTAAACTAGAGTGGCCAAAAACCTCACAACCTCCCAGACGACCCTACCCGCAGTTTTCCCAGATACATGAAAACCCTGATCAGTGAAGGAAAAGAAGCCATGCTCAGAGGAAACCCCACATACAGCACCTGGGTTCCAATGGTAATAAAACATAGAAGGAAAAAAACAACAAATGGGAACATGAGTCCCCAAGCAATTATACAACACAAAAAGGGACAACTCTCCAGAACCCTAAGTCATTGACATGGAAGCAATGTTCTATAGATTTTAGAATTACAATTACATAAAAATTTAAAGAAATGGGAGAAAACCAAGAAAAATGAATGTCCTTACAAATTAAATCAATGAACTGAAGACAGAAAATGAAGTTTTAAATAAAATAAAATTGGAGCTGCAGCATTTCAAAAGAGAAATATAGGAAGTTAAAAACTTAGAAGAAAATCACAGAACTCAAATAGATCATAGCATTGACTGTAATTGAAGATACAAATGTACAAACAAGGTAAATGTCAAAAAAATAAGGGAAAAATAGTTTATCTACTGAATGAACTCATGTTTTCATGAAATGAATTTATACAACCTGAGTGCCTCAGAACAGATGAGTGGATCAAAATGTGGTTTATATACAAAATGGAATACTACTCAGTGATCAAAAAAGATAAACTCATGCCATTTATGGCAAAATAGATGGGGTTCAAAAGGATAATGTTAAATAAAATAACTCACAGAGAGAAAAATAAATACCAGGTGGTGTCACCAATATGTAGAATATAAAGTAAATTAATAGTCAGATAAATACAAGCTGAAAAACTAACACTTGATAACTAATTATAGAAATGAAATGAGAGAACTGAATGGTGGGGGAGGGGAGAGAACAAAGAGGGAAGAAAGCAAAATGATTTAAAGTGGTAGAATATGGGTGAATTGGTGGTGGGTACAGTATTAGGGTATACCTGATAGAAGTATCCCAATATTACCTCATTTAAAATATATTAGTTAATTATATATTTTTAAGATGACACACACATACAGGCACACACACACACAACACATAGAGAGAGGTATAGCAAATTCCCAGCCAAAGCCTCAAGCCTTTACCAAGCACAAGTATCCCTCAGCAGTCCCACTGTTAAGAACCCTGGACCTAGGACCTCAGGCCCAGCATACAGCAGGCAGTATAAGCTTCAATCAAGGGCCTAAGGCCCCAGCTGGCAACAGCAAATTCCAGTCCTGCTGGCAAGGACTCTGGACCCTAGATCTCAGGTCAAGAATGTAAATAGTGGAACAAGTCATCAGCCAAGGGACCAAGGACTCATCAGGTAGTGGTTATCCCTAGAAGCCCTGGTAAGGACCAAGGTCCAACACAGGCACAGACAGGCCAGAAAACAAGGATGTCTACTCTCATCACTTGTATTCAGCATAGTAATGAAAGTCCTAGCTAGAGCAATTAGGCAAGAGAAAGATAAAAGGGAAGCCAAACTAAGAGAAAAGTAAAATTTTGAATATTTGCAGATGACATAACATACATAGAGAACCCTGAAGGCTCCACAGAAAAACTGAAAAATCAAACCAGTTCAGCAAAGTTTCAGGTTACAAAATCAATGCAGAAAAATCAGTTGCCACCCTATCTGAAAAAAAAAAAAATTGAGCTAGAAAAGGAAGAAATAAAGAAAATGCTTCAATTTACAATCACACCAAAACAAGCTAACAACCTGGGGGTAAACCTAACCAAGACCTATACAAAGAAAAACAAAACAAAACAAAACAAAACACTAGGCATTGTTAAAAGAAATGGAAAGATATCTATCATCTGCTCTGAAATTGAAACAACATTGTCATACTATCCAAAGCAATATACAGGCTAACTTTAATTCTTACAGACATTAATGAAATTCACCTGAAACCATACAAATAGCCAAAACAATCCTAACAAAAAAGAATGGTGATACCACACTTCCAGACTTCAAACTATACTATAAAGCAATAATAATTAAAATAGTATGCTACCAAAATAGAACACACAAACCAATGGAATAGAATTGAAATCCCAATAAGTAAAACCACACATATATTGGTCAACTAACCCATGACAAAGGAGAAAAGAATTCACATTGGAAAAATGAAAGCCTCTTCAATAAATGTTGGGAAAACTGAACAGCCACAAACAAAAGAATGAAAATATGCCATTTCACAACATACACAAAAATTAACTCAAAACAGATGAAAGAATTGTTTGTAAGACCTGAAACTATAAAATTCATAAAAGAAAACAAACACAAAATACCTCACTATATAAGCTTCAGTGATGTCTTAAATCTGCAAACAAAAGAGAGCATAAACAACTGAGACTACATCAAACTAAAATTCTTCTGCACCATGAAAGAAACCATAACTAAAATGAAGAGGCATTGTACTGAATGGGAGGAATTATTTCCATGCCTTATATCTGACAAAGGACTGATATCAAAGATTTACAAAGAATACATACAACTCAACACGAATAAAGAAAACAAATAACACAATTTAAAAATGGACAGAAGATCTAAATAGACACTTCCCCAAAGAAAAGATACAGATGGCCAATAAGCACATGAAAATGTGCCCACCACTTATCAGGAAAGTCTAAACCAAATGCACAATAAGGTACCACCTCACGCCTATGAGTATGGTCCACATTAAAAAGACCAAAACCAAAAAGTGCTGGTGATGTTATGGAGAAAACGAACCCTCTCACACATTTAGTGGGAATAGAGATTGTTTCAGCCCCTATGGAAAACAAATGTAGAAATTCCTGAAAATAATAAAACTGGATGTGCCAAATGACCAGATATCCCATTCCTAGGTATCTACCTGGAGAATACAAAACACTAATTTGAAAGGAAATTTGCACTCCTATGTTGATTACAGCACATTTACAACAGCCAAGCTTGGAAACAGCCTATGTACCCCAAAACAGATGAGTGCATCAAGATGTGGTATATATACAGAATGGAATACTATCAAAGCAGATAAAGTATATATACAGAATGGAATACTATCAACGCAGATAAAGTCCTGCCATTTGTGGCAACATGGAAAGAGCTAGAAGGGATTATATTAAATGAAATAAGCCAAAAGGAGAAAGATAAATACCGGCTAGTGTCACTTATACGTAGAATAGAAAGAAGCCAAGCAAAGGGTGAAATAAATTTTAAAACAACCTTTGGAAGCTAGATATACAGCTGAGGTATTCAGAGTGGGGGCAGGAAAAGTGAGAACAGGGTAGGGAGAGAGCACAATGGACTATGGTGGAGAACTATGGGTGCTTTGTTCTGGTGTGCTATGGTTTCTCCATCTGAAGGGAAAGATGCTATACTTGCAAAACACTAAAAGCATTGTAAAACTATTTGGTACTTCAATAAAAATATAGAAAGGAAAGAAAAGAAATAAAACTCCTAAGGGTACACTTGGCATTTTGACTAATATATTAGAAAGGGAAAGTACTCATAATTTGCTGGTTACTATAAACATTGTGCTACCAACAAATCTTGTATTACATGGTTCTTTTCTAGCACCTATAATTCCTGGTACTTGAAAGACATGGGAGTACAAAGTTTGGAACCTCTGATTACATTTAGAACTTTGGACCCCACTTGAAAAATCATGAGACTTTCTCTCGTTTACAGATTTTTCTAATAGCTACTTATAGGCACTGAGTAATCAAGGACTGACTTAAATTATCTCCTTTGTACCATAAATGTTGATAAAACAATGAATTCTAAACAATTAGCATATATGGCCAGACACTTAGACTGTTCAAAAGTGTAAATTGCTAAATCTTGACATCAATTCGATACTGAAAAAGATGACTAATAAGCCACTCAAAGTAAAAAATATACACGTCCACACTCAACCTCTTGGAAGTAACCTCAAAATGATAAATCTAAAGAATCCAAGAGTTAAACAAAAGGTACTTCTTACTGTCATCAAAGAAAGAAAAACATCTATTGTCATGTTTAAACTCATGTGGAAGAACATAGATCTTCAATACTGAAATCTACATTTATGGTGCTATATAGGGGAATCTGGTCATCTCTCTTTCAAGTGTTTTGGCACTTTTGTTGAACCTGTACTTAGCAAACACAAACAAATTTGTAAATCTGAGAGAAAAAATCAGTCTTCAATTAAACTAGATTAATTTATTCTGCAAATAGGTGTTGAGCGCCAACTATGTGTCACCCCCCGTCATTGGTTCTAAGAATAAAAGAGGAAGACAGACAGTAATGTAGTCTCTTTATTCTATAGGAATTCTCTTGAAGAAAAAACATACTTAATTTACAGTGTCCTGAATTCCAATAACTGTAAACAAGACCGTATTTCACTAACTGGAATCATATAATCATTTCATAGAAATGAGTTTCCATTCTGCATATATATTGCACAAATTTTTTAAAAGCCAAGATTGTGTTTTAAATGTTGCATCTTCTATATATAACAGAACCTCGCCTTGTAGGTTAAGTGGTTATTTCAGTTACAATCCAGTCTGGAAATAGAACCTAAGCTATAGTCTAGTGGTTTTCAGTAGGAGGTAATTCCCGATCCTCCACCCCCATCAGGGACTTCTAGCAAAGTCCGGAAACATTTTTGGTTTTTCACAACTAAAAGGGTGCCAATGGCATCTCATGATTACAAACTGAGGATACAGCTAAATATCCTACAATGAGAAAGGCATCCCCTACACCAAATAATTGTGTAAAAGAAGATGTCAATATTGGCAAAGTTGAGAATCATTCGGAGAGTTTAAACAAGAGACTGTGACATGAAGAGCTACTCACAACAGGTTAGAGACAAAAAGCAAACAGAAGACGGTGAGACAACTCAGTGATGAGTAACAGCAGAAACCTGCTACCACAGCCTAGGAACAAAGGGAAAAGTAGGAAACCCAGCAGCTATGGAGCTCGTAGCGCTAGTATCTAAATGGAGAAGCAGTCTCTGTCATGGACATCTCCAGAAACAGGAAGGAGGTAAAAACCTTGGCTTTACCTTTCCTGCCCTCTTGCCTTCCAATCAGTTCTTCCTATTATTTGCCAAACCTAATAGGAATCCAGTTGCAATGAAGACCGGGAGATCAGTACTCATTGTCATCAGTATTGTTGAGGTCAGTACTCTCTTCCCCCCAAACTTGTAATACAGAAAGGAAAATGAAAAGAATGCAAAGGGGATCTTCAAGTAAACAGGAAAATGAACAATGCATTGGTTTAACTAAGAGATTCAGTGTCGAAAAGATCAAAGAGTAAATCTTAGTTGCATTATTCACTAGTTGCGTGACTTGGAAAATCAGTTAACCTCCTTCAAGGCCTCAATTTCTTCATCTATAAAATTATAGAAATAATAATACCTAATTAATGGCAGTAGTATGAGAACTGACTGATACAATAGATATGAAGCATGTAATACAATAGCTGACATATAATGTTTCCTATGAATAATAATAGGTATATATTCTTCTTTAGAGTCTATATAGGGATAAATCTTAATTTTTAATATTATTAAACTCAACTCAGTGCCTGGTACAAAGCAGGCACTTAATATAAGGTGCTAAATTTCTTTTCTACTTACAAAAACTTGACTTAATCTGACCACCTTCCCCTTCCTTTCCATATTCCCATTTTCGGTGATATTTGACTAATTTCCATATCATATTCCATTCCCTTAGAGCGTAGAAGAAATACACCAATTAAATGTGGTTTTGCAGACGTACCAAAATATGCTGTTGTCAAGAGTCAAGCAAATTACAATTTCTACTTCAAAAAGAAGAAGTAAAAAATATTGTGTGGCTTAGATTAGACTGCTGAAATTATGAGTCCACTTCCAGCCCCTCAGAATGAAAAATTTGCACTTATTTGTGGAATGTAAATAATCATAGGGAAAAAACTGGTAAAATGCAACAAAAATAACAGAGACTCTGAGAAACACGGTGGGAAAGGAAGAAGAGTAGAGGGGTTATACAATAATGTGTATTGGACCGGCGCTTTGGTGGTGAGTAAATGAATCATGTGCACATGTCCAGATGCACAGCTATACTCCTGAAATTATAGTTATGTAAATTAATAATAAATAAATGCAATCTGACTTAAAATTTTTCAAATGTAGAGTCACTGAGGCTTCACTTTCTAAATGAATAGCTTAATTGTGTTTTCTTTGTCTGCATAGTATGTCTTTACATTCTGGCCTTGTTTGCAGCAGCAAATTAAATCTTCAGGCCTCTCAGAACAAATGACAAATTCAACTCACAGAGAAAATATTTTATGTCATTACATTTTTTTCAGTTTTTCCATACCCATACTGAAGATACTGTGAGTTGGCACATGAAAAAATCTCCACCAAAGAGTGTCCTTATTATGCCCATATAAACCTATAAGCTAGAAGATGTGGATTATGGATTCTAAAATCATTTATTCCTCAGCAATGCTAATTCCGAGGCCAAAACAATGCAAACAATTATTTACTGGAATTTCTGTTGCCCCTACATATGCTTATCAAATGCATGTGGTTTCATAATCATTCTGACAGTTTCAGGTGTATATGATTCTTCCCACCCTTTGCTCTTAACCAGCATCCTGCAGAGGAAAGAGAGGGAGAAGGATGGGAAGGAGGAAGTGGGGAGCACAGGAGGCTGTGGTGATGGTGAACTGGAGGAGGAAATTCTATGGGGTCTAAACCTAAGGGAGGCAAAAAAAAAAAGTAAGCATTGTTTAAAAATGAATAATGTAAAATACATATAAATAAATTTAATTTTTAAAAAGAGAGAAAAGACATATTTATCTTGTACTTGCCATGGTGCCATGGCATACATATGTTAAATATACAGTGAATGGAGAACAAAGAAACCACTGCGTGGTATAAATGAACAAGAAAAATGTCATAATTGAAACCACCACTCACAAAGCAAAAGCTCTTTTTGTTTCCCTCATCCCATATAAAACAGCTTTTAGCTATATTCAAATTTTAAGAAGATTCTAGATATGAAAATACTATTACTAGTATACATAAAATAAAATATTTCTCGTTTTAACGCTAATTTTAATATAATAAGCAAAGAAGTTGAACTTTATTAAGAAGATTCTTCATCAAAAAGTCAAAAATAATACAATTACTCTGGCTGGAATTAAGATGAGGAAATGTAAAACCAACTGCACGCCCAAGTTCTATATATGTGCAAAGTAAATTTCTGGTGGACGATGCATCCATTTACATTCTAGTAGCAAACAAAATAACTCAGGCTTCCCAGAATGGATACAGAAGATGAACTTGAGAAATAACTGCTTGCAGACTTAGGGATGGGCACAGAAGGAGGTGGACCTGGATAGGATGGATTGCAGATAAACTACATTTAAAAAAATTATTTCCTTACCCCACGGTACTGGCTTTCATTGAAAATCTGAGGTGGCAGGGGGTATCCAGTAGCTGGACGACTGTCCTCTGGCACATTTTCTCTCATCCACTTCCGATTCTCTTCATTGGCTGCGATATCTTTTTCTTCAAATCCTATTTTGTTAGCTTCTAAGAAACCAAGCACATCTTGCTGTTTCTTCTTAATCTAGGACCCAAAGAACAAGACACCATAATGTTGAACAAATAACTTGTGTTGCCTTTACTTTTCAGATTCAATTAAACACAGTTTTTGTAAATGAACTTAAGCTGAGGTAGTGACAGGAGGTTCTTTGCTTTGTTCTCAAGATGTTTTAACAGTTAATCAGAGGGATATTACACCCAGAGAGTCCCATGGCTTAGAGCAAAACCCTTGAATATCAGAAATCAATACAGACTATGAAAGAGAGGGGAAACAGAGAAGAGAGTCACCCTTCAGTGAACAAGAAGTAGGGGGAGAGAAATCACTGGAAATTTTGGCTATGGGTAGAATATATCCTATATGGCTGTCATTTCAGCAAGGAGCCTTGTGACCGGAAGAGCTAAATTCTGTGGAAGGTTACACAACCCTGACTGAAGGGAAATATGTGGAGGAGCTGTGGTGCCCATCCCACCCCCAGGCCAGGTGCACAGTATAAAGGATAAATACAGTGCTCTGGCACACCCTTTCAGACTGGTACTGGCCTCATGGAGCACATTAACCATGCAAAGACTGCAGAAGGTCAGATCTGGAAACCAGGAAAGGCGGGACATGGGCCTTTCACAAACAAGTCAGTTCTCTCCTTCACAAAACATTCAAATGAATGGCTGAATGTTTCGAAAGCATCCTCCCACTCACTGATTCAGCTCTGCTAGATTAGGTCTCAGAACCTACAGAAGCAAACAAAGTCAACAAACTAAAATCAAATAAAACCACAGAATGCATACTAGAAAAAATATGTATTTCAGCTCTCTAATTTTACCACTTCATGTTAAAGATATAGTGATATCAAAAGCTGCAAAATGGGCATATTAAAAAAAAATACAACATGTGTTATCTGAAACCATAAAGGAATATGACAAAGAAGAGAACAACTCTCCAGAATCTAACCATAAAGACACGGAAGATTTTTGATATGCCTATGAGATAAATACCTCAAAATTGGCATAATAAAGAAAATCAGAAATGGAAGAAAACACTTAAAAAGGTTAAAATAACATGAGAACTCAAAAATTTAATCCAAAAGTGTGTGTGTGTGTGTGTGTGTGTGTGTGTATTTTGTAGCAGTCCTTCAGCTCTTTTGTTAGGTTTATTCCCAAGTATCTGTTCTTTTTCTTTTTTGGGTTTGAATTATAAAAGGGATTTTTTGTTGTTTCTTCTTCAGATTGATTGTGTGCATATAGGAAGGCTACTGATTTTTGTGCAATGAATTTGTATTCTGCTACTTTACTAAATTGGTTGATTATTTTGATTCATTTTCCTGTGGGATTTTTGGGTTCTCTATGTATGTTATCATATCATCTACAAATAATGATAGCTTTACTTCTTTCCCTATTTGGACTTCTTATATGTGTTTCTCTTGTCTTATTGCTCTGGCTTGGACTTCCAGTATTACACTGAATAGCAGTGGTGAGAGTGGACATCCTTGTATAGTTCCAGACTTTAAGGGAAAGGTTTTCAGGTTTTCACCATCGAGAATTATTTTGGCTATGGACTTGTCATATATGGCCTTTTTTGTGTTAAGGTGTAGTCCTTCTATTCCAAGAGCCTTTATCATAAATGGATGTTGAATTTTGTTGAATGCTTTCTCAGCATCTATTGATATAATCATATAGTCTTTATTTTTCTTTTTGTTTATGTATTGGATTATATCAATTGACTTTTGGATGTTCAACCATTCTTATATCCTTGATATAATTTTTAAAAGATTTTTTATGCATACAGAACTGGGGTACAAGGACAGAGGTACAGGGGTGGTGACAGGAGTCACCAGAGACAGAATGAGGAACAGAACAACCATATCAACCAAGTACACTGCTGATTGGAGCACTACTGATTGTGAGACAGGTGAGGTCTGCTGCTCCATGTGGATCACCTCTGGGGTTGGAGATTAAATTCACCTGATATATTACTTGGTCTTGATAAATTATCTTTTTGATGCACTGCTGGAATCTGTTAGCTAAGATTTTACTGAGAATTTTTGCATCAGTGTTTACTAGAGAGATTGGTCTGTTGTTTTCTTTTTGTGTGTTGTCCTTGTTCAGTTTTGGCATTAGGGTAATATTAGTTTTATAAAACATATTTGGTAGCATCCTTTCCTTCCCAGTTGTTTGAAAGAGCTTCTGGACATTTGATAAAATTCATTTGTAAATCCACCTAATCCTGGGCTCTTGTTTTGGGGGAGGGTTTTGATTACTGTTTCAATTTCATTGCTTGTAATTGGTCTGTGTAGGTGTTCTATTTCTTCTTTATCTAGCTTTGGATGGTTGCAAAGTTGTCGGAATTTGTCCTTCTTTTCTAGATTGTTGAACTTGTTTGCATAAAACTATAATAATCATTGATAATTCTTTTGACTTCTCCTGTATCTGTGGTAATTTCTCCTCTTTCATTTATGATCCTATTTATTTATGCTTTTCAAAAAACTTAATAGTTCAGATATTTTGCTGTCACATAAACCATAAAACAATACTAAGCAGTCATGGCTTTCTGGCTGTATATGGATATAAAATAATTGGAACTACAAAGGGAAAATCATTAAAAGAGTAAGTCTCACTGAACTATTCATGACAGCACTTTACAAAATCCATTAAAGACAACTAAAGATAAAAGTAAGGAAAATCATTTCATCATGCACTAAGCAGAATTGATTTTCTAATGATAGCTGTATTATTTTTAGCCAGGGAGCAAGTTATTCCTACTTTAGTACAATCTATTTGTAATGTGAGCCTACATCTTCATATGCAATTTGAGGTATTTAGAAAGGGCCAAGAAGGGAACATCTACATTTATGTTATCTGCTTCAGATAACCCATGAAAAAACTTTTTATTGAGGTAATATTTTATCATAAAACTAAGTTTCAGCTGTGCATATTGAAAACATGTGCATATACTACATTAAGATCATCATCAAAAGTTCAATCTATCCTTCATATCATCTCCTTTTTTACCAATTGCCCCTCCTGTTTTTCCTTCTTGTGACCACTAATTGGTTTGATACTCTAAAAGTCTGTTTTTGTCTTATTCATCTTTTGTCTTCTCCATATGCAGCATATGGATAAAATCCATAGTGTTTGTTTATCTCTGGCTTATTTCACTATGTGTAGTAAGTTCATCCATGTTGCTGCAAATGACAGGATTTGGTCTCCATAGCTCTACAGTATTCCATTGTGTATATGTACCACCTCTTTATCCATTTGTCAGTTGATGGGCATGTAGGTCATTTCTAGTTCTTGGGAAGTAATACTGTAATATGCATGGGTGTACAGATATTTATTCATACTTCTTTTTTAACTTGGAGGAGGGGCAAATACCTAGAAGTGGAAACTGGATTCTATAATATTTCTATTTTAAATTTTTTCTATTCTTAAATTTGAGGAACTTCAACAATGCTTTCAATAATGGTTGTGCCAATTTACGATCCTACCAAAAGTTTATGAATGTTCCCTTCAATCCATATCTTTTCCAACACTTGTTACTTCCTGTTTTTGAATAATAGTCAATTCTCACTGGTGTGAGATATTTCATTTTTCTTTAACTTATATTTCCCTAATAACAGGAGATGATGAACATCTTTTCATGTGCCTATTGGTTATATCTTTTGGAAAGTATTCTTCTGCCTACATTTTTACTCAGTATATTTAATTGTTTATTTTTTTACCTTTTTGTATACTTTAGCTATTAATCGCTTAGCAGATGCATGATAGGCAATTATACTCTTCCATTAAGTAGCATGTCTTTTAGTTTTGATGAAAGTCTCTTTCACTATGTAGAAGCCTTTTAGTTTGTGGTAGTCCTATTTGTTTATTTTTGCTTTTCTTTCCCTTGCAATTGGAGTTCAGTCCCCAAATACATCTTGAAGGTTGATGTCAACAATTGTACCATTTAAAAAAGTTGTACAGCATGATGTATTAGGATTTATTCCAGGGATGCAATGACAGTTCAGTATATACAGATCAATAATATACCACAGTAACAAAAGGAAAGACAAAAATCATGATCTTCTCAATAGACACTTACAAATGTTTTGACAGAATTCAACGAACATTTATGATAAAATTTTCAGTAACATGAATATGAAGGAAAAATATCTCAACATAATACAAGCCATATACAAAAACTCAGAGCCAATACCACCCTCAATGGCAAAAAATTAAAAGATGTTCCTCTAAGTTCGGGAATAAGACACAGATGTTGACTGTCACCAACTACTATTCAACATAGTTGTGTAAGTTCTAGCAAAAGCAATTTTACAAGAAAGAATAGAAAAGGATTAGAAAGGAAAAGGTAAAACTATCAATATTTCCATATGAAATGATAATATATATAGGAAATTACAAAGATTCTGGTAAAACACTCTCATAAAAATAATAGATGAATATAATTTATGGTAAAAATAATAAATGAATACAATAAAGTAACTGGCCATACAATAAACAGACAAAAACCTGTACTAAGTCTCTATGCAAATAATGAACTAGCACAAAGAGAAATTTGTAAGACAAACCCATTTGCAATTGCATAAAAATTAATTAAATACCTTGGAATGAATTTGAACAAATAAGTAAAAGACCTATATTCTGAAAACAGCAAAAATGTATTTAAAGAAATAAGACACAAAGAGAAGTAAAGGTATCCCAGCTCATTGACTGGAAGAATTAACACCATTAAATTGGCAATATTACCTAAAGCACCATGGGGATTCACTGCAAGCCCTGTTAAAATCCCAATGACATTTTCATGGGAATATTACAAAAAACTCATGACATTTACTATAAAAGATCTTTTAGAACAACAACAAAAAAACTCTTGAAGAAATACGATAAACAATGATCTCAGTTTTAAAAATGACAAACTCAGCAAAGATAGTGAAGGAAAGGATAAACAGCTAGGACTACATCAAGTTAAAAATGAGAGATTACACAAAACAGACACCCCACTGATTGAGAGAAAATTTTCTCATACAATACTGA